CCCTATTTCCCAGGGCGTGCGGGCTGGCGGTCACCCCAGCTTCTCTACCGGTGCTCCTCATGGGCTGAAAACAAGTTGTCTTTTATGTCTTTTTACCCTTTAAATGATTAACTTTGTTATTTGTTTGTCTATTTAGTGTTTTTATGGCAAGAAATACTTAATTTTGCCACTTATCCGACCATTTAGTGTCCTGTAGGTGCTTTACTGCTCGCCGTGGCTGCCGGGCTGCCCGGGCTGTGCTCTGCTTTACCCAAACCCACATGCCAGACCTCTCACTCAGGCTTGAACCCTAAACCCTAATCCCTAAATCCTAAACCCTAAACCCTAAACCCTAAACCGTAAGCTAGGGGGCCACGAGTTATGACCCCAGCCTTGTGTCGCAGAACCTGAAATATGAGCCCTTAAGCCCTAATCCCAGACCCCAAAGTTGTAAACCCTAAACCCTGGACCCCAAGTCGCGGACCGTAGACCCTAAACCCTAAACCCTAAACCCTAGGCCCAATCCTCTGAAGCTGAAGGCTTCTTGAATCTTCACCTCCCCCCAGCTGACCTGGGCTCTACTGGGACCCCCAAACCCCAAACCCCAAACCCAAGACCCCAAACCCCAAACCCTAACCCCAAACCCCAAACTCTAAGCCCTAAACCCCAAGCCCTCAGCCCCAAACCCTAAACCCCAAGCCCTAAACCCCAAACCCTAAACGCTAAACCCTAGGCCGACCTGTTGAGGGCCAGGGCCTCGCGTATGCGCGCAAGGCCCTTGCTGCTGATGGCGTTGCCACGTAGCAGCAGCACCAGCAGCAAATCGTTGCTTTCAATGCCAGCAGCAATACAAGAGGCCCCCCAGTCTCCCAACTTGTTGAAATTCAAATCCAGAAACTGCAGCGGCGGACTCGCCGACAGCAAACGACCCAGGAACAGCCCGCCCCGCCACCTGCGCAGCCCCGCAGCAGCACACGTTGCTGCTGCTGCTGCTGCTGCTGCGGCTGCTGCTGCTGCTGTTGCTGAATGTGGGGGTGCTGGGGCTGCTGACGTTCTGTCTATTATTGGGGAAGGCCAGAGAAAAGAGGCTGGGGGCCCTTAGGGGGAGGAAAGCTGCTGCTGCTGCTGCTGCTGCTGCCTCTGCTGCTGCTTCTGTTGTTGCTGCTGCTGCTGCTATGAACAGGCGTTAAAGGCTGAAACTGTTCCTAGCTCCCCGTCAAACCGCGAACAAATAGACCTTAGGGTTTAGGGTTTAGGGTCTAGGGTTTAGGGTTTAGGGGGTTACGAGATTTCGTTTGCTGCGAGTCCCAAACTCCTGAGGGTTTTGTTTTGCCTCAAAAATGGATAAAGAATTTCAACTCCGTCATCTCTAAGGGCCTGGCGGCCCAAATCCAAGTGCAGCAAATTGGAGGCCAGCTGAACCACCCTGGGGCGCAGCCGCAGTCTTGCTGCGCTCTAGGGTTTAGCGTTTAGGGTTTAGGGTTTAGGGTCGAGCGCTTAGACGTTAGGGTTTAGGGTTTAGGGTTTAGGATTTAGGGGTTGGGGGCTAGGGTTCAGGGGGTCTAAAGAGGTGAAGGTGCTGCGCGGCCGGCTTTCCGTTGTGAACGGCACAGACAGACCATAGCAGCAGCAGCAGCAGCAGCAGTAGTAGTAGCAGCAGCAGCAACAACATTCGTCTCACCCCGCAAGGTGATAGGCGTGCATGGAATTGAAGGAAACATCGACGTCAGAAATATCGAGGGTCTCCAGACTCTAAACAGCACAACTCTGAATAAACTTAAAGGTTTAGGGTTTACCTTCTAGGGTTTAGGGTTTAGTGTTTAGGGTTTAGGGTTAGGGTTTACGGTTTAGGGTTTGGCAGCTCCCCAGGCCAGGGAACCTGCCGCAGGCCTTGCGTTTATAGAATCTGCAGCTCCCGCGCAGGGATTAGGGATTAGGATCTAGAGCCTAGGGCTAGGGTTTAGGGCCTAGGGCTAAGGGTTTAGGGTTTAGGGTTTACTCGGTTGCTTTGCTGGAGCGCGGTGGTGATGTGGACGAGGGCGTGGAGGTCGAGTTGGGTGTTTCGGAGTTTGAGGGTTTTGAGGGTTTTGGAGTTTTGCAAAAGTGCTGCTGCTGCTTCTCCTCCTTTTCTTTTGAGTTGATTAAAGCTGAGGTCTAAGTAGCTGAGGCGGGGCAGCAACAGGAGCTGCTGACACAGGTTTGCTGCTGCTGCTTCCTCTATGCAGTTCCCCGCAAGCACCAGCTGCTGCAGCGGCTGCAGCAGCAGCAGCTGCGCCCCAAACACTGCAGCAGCGCCGCTGCCCAGCCAGTTGAAGGCCAAGTTCAGCAGCACAATTTTGGCGCTGCAGCAGCTAGCTGCCTGCAGCAGCAGCTCGAGGTCGGGCTCGGCTAGTCGCTGCAGAAAACCCTCGGGGCGGCTTCCAATGCACTCTATTTTAACCCCTCTTTTGGGGTTTTGCTGCTGTGCCAAATCAGCAGCAGCTAAACTCTCAAACAAAAGCCGCTTGGCTTCGCAGCCAGCCAAATCGCAGGCCAGCAAGTACGCCTTCGCCAGCGGCCCGCAGCCCTCTGCTGGCCCCGGAAGAGAAGCCTTGCCCATCCTCTACATCTAGGGTTTAGGGTTTAGGGTTTATGGTTTAGGGTTTAGGGTTTAGGGCTTACGGCTTGGGGTTTAGGGGCTAGGAGCGCTCGGCCGCTGAGGGGAGGCCGAGCGGCTGCTCTAAACAAAACAATTTCGGGAGTGCCTTCGCCAGACGGGGCCTCTAAAGCCCCCATTCGTTTCGAATCAAATTTTACTTAAATGAAAATATTAATAATTGTTTCAAATTAATTCAACCCAAAGACTTCGAGGCGCTTTCTCAATGCCTCATTCAACTCGGCTCGAGAACCAGAGCACCGGTGCAGCGGCGGGGCCTCTGTTTGAATTTTCGGTGCACGCAGACCTTAAATATCATTAATTTTGTTTAATTGTTTTAAATATTAAATACTTTTCCCAAAAGTCCTTTTCATTTATAACTTTGGCCGCATTTTACGGTGTTAAAGGCGGAGCTGCCGCGGCATTCAAGAAAGCGCGGGGCGGGTCACCGCGGCTCCCCACAGCCAACACCGCAGCCGAAACGAAGCAACAGCAACAAATTCCGCAGCTTAATTAGACGAAATGAATCATTAAAAGAGACAATTTTGATTTAATTTAATTTAATTCAGTTTAATTTAGTTTAACTTAATTTAATTAATTGCATTTAGTCCATATAATGGGCGGGAGACGAGGTTTCAACCTGCTTTCCGTTTGAGTTTTCAGTTTCTGAAACTCGAGTCGGCGATCAACTGGGGCTTCAATTTGAAACCACCAGCCACGCGAAAGAATCTGCAGCCATTAAAATTGAATGAAATGTATCTAACTACACAAAAAATATAAAATAAACAAAATTAAAAGAGCTTCCCCTACGAATGCAAGAGGCTTTGGGCGCTGCCGACGGCCCAGAACAGTTGGCGTTTAAAGTATTCGGACAGACTTTGAAAGCTTTGAACAGATTCAATCAAATCACATCTGCGGCTTTTACAGACTTTAGGGCTTAGGGTTTAGGGTTTAGGGTTTGAGCCGGGCCCTGAGCTCCGCCAGCTAGGGTCTGCGAGCTCTGCTGCTGCAGCAGCAGAGAGCCGCAGCAGCAGCAGCAGCATCATCCTTAGCAGCAGCTGCAGGCCAGCAGCAAAGCAGCAGCAGCTGCTGCTAAGGGGGCCCCCCCCAGCTTTTCGGCCCGCGGGCCCTTTTGGGGCTGCTGCGCCTTCTGTGGGGCCCCTCAGAAGCTCTTTAGACTTTCTGCTTTTTCTTTTTATACTTAAAACCTAAAGTCCTAAATTTTAATAAATTTTATTTTTAAAAAGAAATCTTAGGGGGCCCCCAGGGCCTTCAGTGCTACTCATGCATTTCTATCTTTTAATCTCTTCATGTGCCGCACAGAGCAGCAGCAGCAGCAGGAGTATCTGCAGCAGCAGCAGCAACAACTGTAGCAGCAGCTGCTGCAGCAGTTGCTGCAGCGGCACTGTTTCAGAAACTCTGAAAGCAGCTCGCTGCGCCATTGCTTAGAGGCTTCCACCAGCTGCTGCAAGCAGCTTGCTGGGAAGCAGCGCCACATACGACCCCACTAATCAGGCTGCTGCTGCAGCTGCTGCTGCAACAGCAGCAGCACCAGCTGCTGCTGCTGCTGCTGTAGCTGCAGCAGAGGCTACTGCTCTGCAGCCCCAAGGGGCCCCCAGGGCCTCAAGCCCTGCGAGTTCCGCATTTGGGGGCCCCAAGCTCTGCTTCATGGCCTTTTATTTATTTATTTATTTTTATTTTTTATTTTTAAATTTACTTTAAGCATTAAAATTTCTTTTCGGTTTCAAAATAGTCCAAAGACAAAGTTGGGGCAAATTCCTCTCAGTCTTCAAATGCACTTCATCGCCGCACTCTGCAGCAGCAGAAAAGAAATGAGCTTTTCTCTTCCAAATATTTTTGAATTTAATTTAAAATTAATTAAATTAATTAAATCAATTTAACTAATTTACTTTAATTAATTTAATTATTTCAATTAAATTAATTAAATTAATTAAATAAAGCCGCATGCATAAACAGCGAGACGCGTGAAATGCGAAGAAGGCAGCAGACGCAGAAGTAAGCAGTGCACGCACAAATTTCAAACACCAATAAACAAGTAAACAAACAAATAAATAAATAAATAAATAAATAAATAACAAATGAATAGACCAATAAATAAATAAATAAATAAATAAATAAATAATAAATAAATAAATGACTCCTCACCGCGGTGGCTGCAGCGAGCTTGTCGCTGATGAGCTTTTTGGCTGCGTCGAACGCGGCGGAAATGTCTTCGCCGAAAATCTCTTTCGACTTTTCGAAATTGATTTTTGAATTTGAATTTGAATTTAAATTTAAATTTGAATTTGAATTTGAATTTAAATTTGAAATTAAATTCGAATTTAATTTCAAATTTAAATTCAAATTCAAATTCGAAACTCCAAGTTCAGATGCTGCAGCTGTCTGCGCGGAAAGCCGGGCCAGCAGCTGCTGCTTCGCCTGCAGGAAGCAGCAAAGAAATCAAATAATTCCATTTTGATCATTTAATTTATTTAATTTATTTAATTCATTTAGTTAGTTTAATTAATTCATTTCAGTTTTTCATTTTGATTATTTAACTCTTTAAATTAATTTAATAATCAAAATGAAAAGTTGAATTAATTAGTTTCATTTACCCAATTAATTTGATTATTCCAATTTTCCATTGATAATTTAATTAATTAAAATAATTAAAGTAATTCAAACAATTCAAATAATTATTAACTCAGAAGATTTGAAGAGTTTATCTGAGTTAATTCTCCGTTGTTTTGATTATTATTTTGAAATAAATGCAGCATTTTGATTTTAGAAAAATAAAACAAAACGTTCAAATTAAATATTATAGAATAAAACAAAATATATATTGAAATTGAATATTAAAAAAATAAAAACGAATAAATAAGTAAATATTAAAAAGATAAAATAAAGATTTAAATTAAATATTTATTTCTTTCACTTGCCTCTTTAAACTGCTGCTGCAGCTGCTGCTGCTCTTGGTGCTGCGCCTGCAGCAGCGCCAGCAGCTTCTTCGCGATCCGCTGCTGAAGCTTCGTCACTCTGAAATTAAATAAATAAATAAATAAATTAATTAATTAATTACTTAATTAATCAATCAATTAATTAATTAATTAATTAATTAATTAATAACAAATAGTCATCTGACATGGCGCAAGTCAACAAATGAAGAAAGCTGAAGTGAGGAATGAAGCAGCAGGAAGAAAAGACAGAAAGCAAATAAAATCAAATGAAATAAAGCAAAATAAAATAAAACAAAATAAAATAAAATAAAATAAAATGGAACATAATGGGACAAAAATATTTAAAAATAAAACAAAACGAAGAAAAGGAAGAACATTTTAAAAATAAAACAAAATGCAACAAAGTAAAGCAGAAACGAAACAAAACAAAACAAAACAAAACAAAACAAAACAAAACAAAACAAATTTAAAACAAAACAAAACAAAACAAAACAAAACAAATAATATAAAACAAAACAAAACAAAACACAACAAAACAAAACAATATAAAATATTTAGAATAAAATGAAATAAATGAAAACTGCGAAGTGCTGCTCACGCCTGTCGGGTGTCTTCCAACTTCGCCAATTTTGACTCTTGAACTTTTCGCTTTACGATTTCCTGTTTGGAGACAAAATTGAAACACCAAGTAATTCACTTTAATTAAATCTAATTAATTAATTTAATTGAATTTAATTAATTTAATTAATTCAATTTAATTAATTTAATTTAATTTAACTTATTTATTTTAATTTGATCGGCGGCGCACCAGCAGGTGGGGAATGCTCTCCACCTCTGGCGCTGCGCGCCACAGCAAATGGCTCCCAATGCTTAGCTTCTGCTGCTGCTGCTGCTGCTGCTGCAGCCGCTGCTGCAGCAGCAGCAGCGCACACTCTTCGGCGTGCTCTGGGTCTGTGGGGGAGTTGCTGTTGCGCTGCAGCAGCTGCTGCAGCAGCGCCTCTTGGCTGGAGTGTACATGTGTTTGGTTCATTTCAGTTTCCTGAAAAACGAAAATAAAATCATTTCAAATTAATTATTTTATTCATTATTTTAATTATTTCTTTTTTATTTTTGTTCGAAGCAAAGCAAACTCACAACGCGGGGGCTTGCGGCACCTTCTTCGGACTCCTCTGTGCTGCAGTTGTTCCTCCGTCTGCTTCTTTTGCTGCTTTTATGCTGCTCGTCCTCTTCTGCTGCTGCTGCTGCTGCTGCTGCTATCTCTTGCTGCTGCTGCGGCTCCTCTGGCGAACCACAGGAAGCTGCGCTGCCGTCTTCGCACCGTTTCTGTGGAGACTCCAAAAAGCCATTTTTGTTCAATCTGTAGCATTGCTGCTGCTGCTGCTGCTGCTGCTGCTCCGGCTCTTGACTTGCATTGCTGATTAGGTCAGCCTCTTGCTGATCATGCTCTTGCTGCTGCTGCTGCTGCTGCTGCAGCTGCTGCTGCAGTTGCTGCTGCCGCCGCTCGCCACCACTGAACTCTGAAGGAGCTTCTGCGGCGGTGCTTGCGCCGCGTTTGCCCACGTCTTCTGCTGCTGCCTCCTGTGCCGGTTCGCAGGCGACCAGTGGTCCATTTGAACTCGAGCTGCGAGCTGTCTGCTGCTCCTGCAGGTGACCACTGGACTTCAAATTCTGTTCCAGCAGCAGCTTCTGTCCCTCTTCAGTCTCGCAGCTCTTCGTCGTCGCCAAACTCACGCGGCGCCACTGAGACAGCTTGGCTGGCGGTGGCAGCAGAGGGAAGTTGAATGGCGGGCGACCGCCGGCACTTTCTGCGTTTGAACGGAATAAAAAAGATAATTACTTTATTTTATTTATTTAAAACATATTTTTCCATTTTTATTTCCATTTGTTCGCTCGTTTCCGTAGTTTCTAGCAGCCCGCATCTTACCCGGGTCCGCGCTCCCACTGCCCTCGCCCGCTTCATCGCTCGGCCGTTCGGGAGAGAAGACCCGGCCTCTTCTGTCTGTGGAGTTAATTAAAAAGGTGAAATAATAAAAATAAAAAATGAATTCATTTATTTTTATTTATTTACTTTGTTGGTTTTGTTCTGATATCTCTCTGTTTTTCTCGCCGGCGATTTCGGCTGCGCCGTCGTCGAGATCTGCGCTCGGTAAGGCCCCCACCTCCATGCCCTAGAAAGGCAGTGAGTGAATTGGTGAAGAGAACTTGAATTTATTTTGAATTATTTGGAAGAAATAGAGAGTTTCTCACTTTAGTGGAAGCGAACAGGATTCTTTGCTGCTGCTGCCGCTGCTGCAGCTGCTGCGCTGCTCTGCTGCTGCTGCTGCTGCTGCGTGCTGCTGCTGCTCTGTCGAGCCCCAGCAGCAGCAGCGAAGGCCGCAGCAGCAGCTCCGCCCTTTGGGGCTCCATGGGCTCTCTGAGTTCATCGAAGATTCCTTCGAGGAAGCTGAAGTCATATTCTTCCATTTGCTGCAGCGGGAGCGCAATAAGCAGTTGTTTGCTTCCGTTTTCTCGCATTTTAATGCTTTTAACTCTTGTAATTCCAGTTTATTTGTTTTAATTGCAACTAACGTCCAGTTTGTGGACTTTCAGCAGCTGCTGCTGCAGCAGTGCTGCTTCCTTCGCGCTGCTGAAGGAAAGCCAGAATGTCTCGGCAGCTTCGAAGAAGGCCTCGGGCTGCTGCAGCAGCGTCCGCGGATCTCCGCCTGCAGCCCGTGAAATAAAAGCGTTTGTTTAAATTTTGAATTTAAATCGAAATTAAATTGAATTTAATTCAATTTTTAATTTAAAATTAAAACAATTGCTTTTGTTTCCTCCAATTTGGCCCACTCACCCTCAGCGGGAAGCTGCAAAAATGTTATCTTCAGAAAACGCCCCTCGCACGCCATGCGGGTGATTGAATACAGCGGGATTGTGCGGCTCTGCGGAGTTCAGAACGGTTCAAACGTTTGAATTATTTCGAATTATTTGAATTAATTCAATTAATTTAATCAATTTAATTAACTTAATTATTTTAATTGTTTTGGGTTGACTTTTCCGCGAAGAAAAACCCTCAGCTGCTCACAGCGCCGTTCTCCCACAGAAAGAAAGCCAGGCCGTCGTGCACCACCCGCTCCTTGGGTTTCGGTGTCTGCAATTGGGGCGAAAATGAGGAAAACTTTTTGCAATTTGGAGTAAATTTCGGGAAATAAATTAAATTTTTTGCATTTCAGGAATTAATTTGCAAAATAAATTGAACTTTGGGCACTCGGGACCAATAGATCCATCAGCGGCGCGAACTTGAACTCCCGAAGCCCCGCAGCGCCCGCAGCCCACCAGTTCCTGCACCCCCGCGTCGAACGCTGCAGCAGCAGCAGCAGCTGCTGCTGCAGCAGCTGCAGCAGCTGCAGCAGCTCCCCTGGCGCTGCTCCACTGCAGCAAAACCTCCAGCGAAAAGGCCTTCTGCTGCAGCAGCAGCTGCGCCAAGTCCCCCAGCCCCAGCGCGCAGCGGTAGAAGTCGAAGTCCTCTGGGGGCACTGCAGCACGAGGGCGGCGGCCGCGGGCTTCGGGGAAGACAGCGTGGAGGGCTTTGTGGAGAATTTGGCCTGCAGAAGATTTAAATGAATTCATTTTATTTCATTTATTTATTTCACTTATTTGTTTTGTTTTGCTCCAAACTTTTACCGTAAGTCCCCAACACTGCAAACGGCAGCCGGCCCCCCAGGCAGGCCGCCAGCTCCTCCAGCTCCGCGTCGACCTGCAGCAGCAAATGAGGTGTCGAAAGTTTCTTCAGAGACTTTTACTTGATTTTAATTCAACTTTTTAGCTTTAATTTACTTTATTTGACTTTAATTTACTTTATTGGATTAATTTGCTTCATTTGCTTCAAATTCACTCTAAGGCCGCCTCAGCTGCAGCAGAACAGACTCACGCGCTGAGCCCACCGCACCAACGCAACAGCAGCAATAGCTGCAGCAACAGCAGCTGCAGCAGCAGCAGCTGCAGCAGCAGCAGCAGCAGCTCGTATTTGCCGTATTTTGGCTCATTAAGTGGCATTAATTATTATTTATTTGATTACTGAAATTTAATTTGCGTTGAAAGAATTAAAAAGGCCCACCTGACACACAAGATCGTCCGCGCTCTCCAGGAGCAGCAGAAAAAGCCGCGCAGCAGCAACAGCAGGTTTTTGAAAAGCGAATTTCCTCGCGAGTTCATTTCTCTTCATTTGCGCCTCAGCAGCTGCAAACAAAAAGACAAAAGAGACATTTTATTAAACACTTTTCTCCATTTGCTTCCCTTCATCTTCTTATTCAGAATTTAATTCAATTCCAACTGAAGCAAAATGCCACACAGCGCCCCGGCAGCAACTTTAGCTCAAATTAGGGCCCACCTACTATGGCTAGCTAGCTAGCTAGCTGGCTAGCTGGCTAGCTAGCTAGTTGGCTGGCTAGCTAGCTAGCTAGTTGGCTGGCTAGCTAGCTAGCTAGCTAGCTAGCTAGCTAGCTAGCTAGCTGGCTAGCGAAGGCTCACCGTCCGGAGGTGCTAGGCAGCGGCCGAGGCAAAGGAGAGAGATGCGGAGGGAGGCGGACGCGACTCCTGAAGTGGACATAAAGAAAGAATGAAAAGAAATTAAAATAAAAAGAAATTAAATTAAAAAAAGAATTTTTAAATTCAATTTATCCTTTTTGCTGCTGCTGCTGCTGCTGCACTTACGGTGAGTCGACTCCCCCAGCAGCACAACAATGCGGTCTCTGTTCTCCTGGACCATTCGCAGCTGCAGCAGAAGCAATTAGTGAATTGCGGCGCTGCAGCAGAAGACTTTATTTGCTGCTGCTGCTGCTGCAACTGCTGCTGCTGCTGCGCTTCAGCGGCTGGCTAGCCAAGCAGCAGCAGCAGCAGCAACAGCAGCAGCAGCAGCAGGAGTTGGCCTCACGTAAAGTTTGATGGTGAGCTCCAAGACGGAAGCTGTGACGAAGTCCTCGAGGGCCCAGCACTTGGTAGTGCAGGTTTCGAGCACGTCCTTTGAGAGGCAGCAGCGGGAAAAAGCAAATAAATAAATAAGTCAATAAATAAATAAATAATTGATTAAATAATTAAATAAATGATAACAAATAAATAACAAATAATAAATAGTTACCGCAGCAAGGCCCAAGTTCACGTCTTGAGCCAGCATCTCTATCAACCCCCCTTCCGGCAAGCCGTCGTTCAGCAGCCGCAGCGCTGCATGCGCCACTGGCATTCTGCAGCAGCTGACAGCTTCTGCTGCAATAGACAGCAGCTCTTGTGCTGCAGCAGCATTTATTAAAGGGGTGTTGGCGGCCGCCTGGGGCACCAGGCCCTCGAGCTCTGTCAGTGTCGCCAGCAGGTCTGCGTCGCTCGCGCTCCGCACGCTCCGCAGCGCCTCCACGCAGAGGCTTTGCGTTTCGCTTCCGAGGGGCTCCATTTGCAAAACGAAAGGAGAAGGAAAAGGGAAATGGTCTTGGGAGCGCGCGGCAGTCGAGATCGCCAGCCACGCAGCAACGCGCCGCACTCGCACGAGCGCAAAAAGAGGAATCGAGCCGTAAATGCTCTCGTGAGGGCAAATCCACAGCCACAAAATGTACTTTGCTGCTATGCCTTCAAGATGAAATACGAACTATTTGTAAATTGGGAACTTCCTGGCTGCCGCTGTTCCGGTTCTGCAAGAAGGAACCTGGAGCTGCGCATACACCGCAGCTCCTAGAGGCCGTTTGAATACGAAAAGGAAGTCCAAGTGATTCAACAAATGACTAACGGCGCCAAACCAATATGAAATAGAATATGGAATTGGATATTCGTGTTCTACAATGATTTCCTACGTCAAACCAGAAAGACACTCGCTGGCGCTGCGGATTTGCAAAGGTGTCTTATTTCCCACGATTTGAGGGAAAGCTCACGAGCTAGACCTTTTCCGAATGCCTTAGTCGAAACTAAACTGAACTTTGCAGGTAAAATTTACTTTAGAGTTTCGCGAGGCTCTAACGGCGTTCGTTCAACTGCAGCGCTTGGGGAATTCAAGTTGGGCGACTCGCCGGGATCCCCGCGATTTCCTCTTTCAGCAGAGCCATAAGACAACTGCGTCGAATAAATACGTTTGTTTATTTTTATTAAATCTTTTTTTTTGCTGGAACTCATTACCCGAAAGCGCTGAGAGCGGCAGTCGCCGCGGTGCCCCATGCAAGCGGCGGGGCCCCCAGCTGGCGCGGGGCCCCCGTGAGCCCAATGCGACTAACTCTGCCTTAGTAGGAAGTTGAATATTAAACTGAATTAGAAAGCAGCAGCAAGGAGGCAGCAAGAGGCCGTCTGCAGCAGCAGCAGCAGCAGCAGCAGCAGCTTCAACTCAGGCGCATGCAGCCACACTTCCCCCCCTTTTGACTTTGAATTTTGTTCTCCCCTCTTCTCTGTTCTTTAGCAGCGTCAGCTTTTAGTGTCTAGTCCTTGGCTCCAGGGCTCGCAGCAACAGCAGCAGCAGCAGCAGCAAGACGGAAAAGCCGAGGCGCTGCTGCAGCCGCGCTGCAGTCCAGAGCAGCAGCAGCAGCAGCAGCAGCTAACTGCCAGCTGCCTCTGTGTCCTTCTTTCTCTCCGCCTTCTTTAGGCCCTTTGCTTTCCAGATTGGCAGTCTCGCTGAACCGCATGCGCAGCAGCAGAGGCTCAAATCAGCAGCAGCAGCAGCAGCAGCAGCAGTCACTGCAGCGGCGCGGAGCAGCAGGCATCGGCCCTTCCACTCATAAGTAAGCACGAGCAACCCGACAGAAGTAACAGCAGCAGCAGCAGCACAAACAGCAGCAGCAGTACAAACAACAGCAGCAGCAGCAGCAGAGGCAGCAAGACCTCTTGGCAGCAGCAGATTACTCGGCTTCACCTGAGCCCGGGCAGCAACAGCTGCCGCAGCAGCTGCTCCAGCTCGCTGGTGCTGTTGCTGCTGCAGCAGCAGCGATACGAATTAGGGCTTAGCAACTCAACAGTTTGCTGCAGCAGCAGCAGCAGCAGCAGCAAAGATGGTGCTGGCTGAATTGGGCCAACAGATCTCGGGAGCTCTTAGGAGCCTGCAGAGCGCCACCATTGTCGATGAAGCCGTAAACCCTAAACCCTAAACCCTAAACCCTAAACCCTAGGCGGCGGTTTCGGGTGTCTGCTGCTGTCGCCTCTGTCCGCCTCATTTCTTTTTTGAATTTTATTTATTTTTAAATTTACTTTATTTTTAATTTTTAATTTTCAATTTTTGATGTTTAATTGTTGCTGCTGCTTCTCCTGCCTGGCTGCAACCTGTCGGGAGAAGCGAAGCCTCCTGCTGGAGCAGCAGCAGCAGCAGCAGCAGCACTGCTGCTGCTTCTCCTGCTGCTGCTGCACTAGCCATGGCCGTTTCTGCGCTTGCTGCTGCCGCGCTTCCCGCTGCTTTCGCCGTTTCGCCCTGCTTGCTGCTGCTCCCACTGCTGCTCCCACTGCTGCTCCCACTGCTGCTGCTGCTGCTGCTGCTGCTGCAGGTTGTGACGGAGTGCGTAAAGACGGTCTGCCGGGCGCTGCTGCTGGCAGATGTGCAGCTGCGAGTAGTGCAGGACTTCAGGCGGCGGGTGACGCAGCAGATAAACTCGCAGATCCAGCAGCAGAGCAGCAGCAGCAGCAGCAGCAGCAGCAGCAGGAAGAAAACTGCTGCAGCAGCAGCTCCCAAGGCCGTTGATGCTGCCAGCGGCACTGTGGGGCCCGCGGGGCCCCAGGGCGACGTCATGGCTGAGGTGTACATACAGGCAGCAGCAGCAGGAGTCAACACCAGACGCATTATTCAAAAGGTAGGCCCAGCTAGCCACAGCTAGCCACAGCTAACTGCAGCTAGCCACAGCTAGCTGCGGCTAGCCACAGCTGCCTTCAGCTAGCTGCAGCTAGCTGCAGCTAGCCACATGCCGCAGCTAGAGCTGTAGACACAGCTAGCTGCAGCTAGCTGCAGCTAACTGAGGCTAGCCACAGCTAGCCACAGTTAGCCACAGCTAGCTGCAGCTAGCCACAACTGTGCCTGGTGCTTTCGCCCGTATGCGAGCCGTTTAGCTAGCTAGCTAGTGACCAGGCTAGCTGGGTGGCTAGC